TTATGCCAAGTTGCTGTACTTAATTAATGATATGCCATGCAATAACTAATAAAAAATTATAAGAATTATTTATAAATTTTTAAAATTTATAATTATTTGAATTAAAATTTATAATTTATTTTTAAATATCATTAATTCTGGCTTCTGGTTCTCTCCGCATGCTCACAAGTTTCCTCCTAGTGTGTTACAAACATCGACAACATTTTCCTTTGGGTTTCATTTTACAAATATTACTATTTTGCCAAATTTTTATAGAAGACAACTCACCAGAGAGTTCTCCATTAATTTTTTTTTCAACCTAATTATTATCTTACTGAAAATAAACCAACCATTCAGGTCAAATCTAATAAGTCAACTCAAATAAGCTTAAAAATCTTTGGGGTCAGAAAGTTTAGAAATTATTTTTTTCTTTGGGCTTATTCAAGTCACTCAAATAAACCAAACGAAACATAAGCCAAGCTAGAACCTGAATAAAAAATTCTTTTTTAATACTAAAATAAGATAAAATTAACTAAGAAAAAAAATTAAAAATATTAATGTTTTAAAATAAAAATTAAATTTAGCTAAAAAAACATAAAATAAAATAATATTTAACGATTCAAATATTCAAGTTTACTCAAATAAATTTGAGATTTTATGGTTAAATTTAAGGGGCTTTAGCATATTTTAGCCAATATTATGTAGCTAAATAAAACTAATAACCCACTATTTCCTAAATTAAGAGAATGGCTAATCTGCTAATTTCCCTCAGGACCAAAAAATGAAATAACCCTTAAAGGCTACAATATCCTAATTGCCTTTCTCAAATCGGAAACTTGGAGACCTAGAGACGACATTTCGCTTACACCACACAAAGACCTAGAGGTAGTGTTATGCGTTTGGACTGTGGGCAAAGAAATTGACAAACGGGCAACGAAATAGCTGCTGCTGGTGGACAAACGAAGTCAGAGATTTAACAAGGACACCACACAAATGCTAGGTGAGGCAGACTGAAGCTTTGCATTCATCTAGGAAAACACACGAACGCAAGGCAAGGTGAAGCGAGGTAGACTTGTTGCTACAAATTCGGTGTCAAAAATCAAAAATGCTGCTAAGGTGAGGAACAACTACTGCTACAGCTTCAGGGTGAGGAAGTCCAGTGACACTGTGTTACTCAAGCCAGAGTTCAAGCGAGGATTTTGCAGATATTCTGTCAATGGTGCCAAAGAGGAAAAATCATCCTACTTCACTAGGTATTTTTACAGAATTCTTGATGTAGGGCTGTATATCAAATGCTTAGACTTCTTGATTTCTCTGTTATTCAAAGCTGAAAACACCCTACCCTGTATTGAAGTAACGGTTGTTCAAATCCCATTTTTCATCATAAGAAATTATGCCATTAAGCATCCCCATATCTACAAGATAACATAGTTATCACTAATATTACTTATCAATGAAATACTATAGTATATCAATGATATACTAATGTAAATTAGAAACACGAAACCGCCATCAATGAGATACTATAGTATCTCAATGATATATTAATGTTAATTAGAACCACGAAAACGCCATACTCCTTCACCCAAATCAGATCAAATTAGGTTCAAAAAAAATTACAGACACCTTAACTGATCATAAAAAATCAAATACCCAAAATAAAAAATAAAAAATCATGAATAGTGAGAAAATAATATGTTTTGTGTTCGAAATTCAAGCAAATTGCATGATCAATGACAACAACAAATAGATTAGGAATAGATGATTTACTGATTCAATGGATATATTACCTGAATATATGAAGATAATAAAAATTCGATTATGGATAATTCTCTTCAACCTCCAGAAAAATGAATACAAGACAATTTCCATTCGATAATGCAGTTTCCTGTTCAATGTAATGACAATGTCTAGAAAAAATAGAGAAGATAAACAAAGAGAGGCAAGAACTATACAATAAGATACGTTCTGCGTTCCTTGATGAAGATGGTGAAAATAACTGTCTAGATGGAGAAATAAAATCAAAAAAAATTAGATAAAAATAACATCAGTTATATTCTATTTTAATAAAAATAACTGAACAGATTTGAGGATAAAGGAGTAAAAACACATCTAATTTATTTTGAATGGGCCATATTTCAAAATATTCAGAAACTTCTTCTATAATTTATGAAAGTTATATTTTTTAAGGCCATTGAGCAAATTTTTTCTAAATTTAACTATACAAATTTTTTTATTTATTTAAATATTTTAAGCTTGACTTAAATTAACTCCCTCCAACTTCCTGCCCTACCTAGAGATTTTGAACTCCGCACATTTAATTTGTGTGTAAGCAATTACGCATGGTTAATGTGGGGCACAATGTCTCTAAAGCGACAAACTGACCAACCAAATGAAATGTTGTCCAAACCAATACCATAAAACAAAGCAGAATTGAACGCAAATCAGCTGACAATAGCACATTATTAAATGCTGCGCTGCCACGACCCTGCATTATTATTTGATTACAAATACAAATAGCCAATTGTTTTACCCAAACAAAATATACAAACAATCAATAGTAAATCATCGGTGCTTACCTATGAAGTGATTCAAGTAATAATTGTCTAAATTAATGTTTGTGATTTATTTTCTTAAGTATTTACTAAAAATTTAAAGGGAGAATTACATTGAAATTCTACACAAGAAAATTAATTACCGTGAGGTTCATTAACAACTAATATAATCACCTTATGTCAATTATTAATAAACCTCACAGTAATTAATTTTCATATGTTGAAATTATATATAATTTTTTCAAATTTTAAATGTTATTAATTAATTCTTTTTGGCACAACTATCATTCTCTTTTTATTTTTTCAATACAGGAGGCATGTCAAAGTTTGAAAAGCAGTAACCTATAAAAACTCAATCACTAGAGCATAAGCTCTTTTCTTGATTAACAATTTTTCTGACAAACCCTAGGAACATCATTAAGTGCCCAAAAACCTTGATTTTTCCAGTGTGCATTTCTACCCAATGAATCATAAATCAGCACACTTGATTGATTCCCTTCCTAAGAAAAAGATTTCTACTTGTTTTAGAAGACAAAGGTAATCCCCAAACTGCACCATTCTTTTAATCTTCGTAGATACATTCTTCCCCCCCAAAACCATGAGAACTAGCATGTACCTCCATGGCTTGTACCCTTCTTTGAATTCCTTCGAAGAAACAGGAACTTCTGGGTAGATACTTTTAAGCTGTTTAATCTCTTTGGCAGGCTCGGGTAATTCCTATGGTAATTCACCTTCGTCTCCAAAGATATCGTCTTCTTCCATAACAATATCTTCGTTTCCCACTCCGTTAAAACCTATAAGGGAGTCCGTGTAAGAGATTGGCTTTTGGCTACTCTGTTCTTTTGCTGACGAGGAGGGTTCATTCTCGTCCTTATCAGTCATTGAAATATCCTGTATACTATTTTCTTGTTCAGATTCTTAGGGGTTGTGAAGTTTCTTATTTCTTCCATCATCTGTCGAGTCTATGGGTGGCCAGTCCGATGGCTGCTTCTGGTTGCCATTAGGATCCAGAGTCATCCTGAAAAAGAAAACCAGAAATAGAGAGAGAAGGAAAAAAACCCTATCAGAGCCTAAGAGAGGTCAATACATCTCGCTCTTTAATGGTCCAAGACTAGAAAGAAACAAATTTCCAACTGTCATTCTTCTTGAATGTATATTAGGTGTAAGCAACTTAGGCCTAATGCGGGGCAAAATTTCACCATAGAACGTACAAACCAACCAGAGAAATCTAGTGCTAATCGAATACCATAAATAATGCTAAAGAATTAAATGCAAGTGAGCTCATAGGAGTATTGTTGGCTCAATTTTCAAGGCAAGAGTTAAAGCGATGTGACCCTTAGGGTGTGTGCCAAGCGTGTCAAAAAAGTGAGTCCTTAAAAGTGAGTTGAATCAAACAATTAAGTGGGTTTTCAATACCCTTTGCTATAATTTTTTAGAGAGTCAAGTGCATGCAAGAACAAAAAATGTTGCACCATGTTGAGCATAAAGTTGGATGGTATTACTGATGAAATGAGTACAAATGGATATTCCATGCAAATGGAGGGGGAAATGTATATAAACAAGACTAGCCTAGGAAATCTAGCTTGCATAGAAAAAGATGGGTAACACAAGGTCATGATTTGGTATTTTGCACCAGGTATGTTTTGTGCAAATTTGATAGAGTATTAAGTGTCTTTTAATCATAGACTTATTGCCTATTTATAGAAAAATGACGAAGTGCACTCCTTTTGAATTTATGCTTGGCACCATTAGGAGCAAATAACTATCCATGCCATTTTGTGGCCAACAATGTGGCATGTCATTCAAGGTAGAGGGAATGATTGCACCAAAATACACTGATAGTAGGGGAAGTAGATATACTTAACTCTACGAAGTTGGCTTGCTGTTAGTCATTTCTCTTTATGGTTTGGACTGGGCCTCAATCGTTTTCCCTCCCAAACCCAAAGTGCCAATTTCAGTCCAAACAAGCATATTATAAAATGCTAATTAGCAACAACTAAAGTTGACATGTGTGATAGATGCTCTCGTCACTTAAGTAAATAATTAGGGTTTAAATTTCAAACCTTTTGTGTATACTAGTTTAGTTAAGAGATCAACCCATTGTCCTCAATACCTTAGAGAATATATATATGTTCTTTGCTTATGCTGGATCATACTCTTTATACTTAAAAAAATGCTAATCACCATCCACTTGAGGTAGCATAACCCACATTATACTTAAAGAAATACTATTGCCCTTATTATAACAAGTTCGTGGGCATTAGGGATACTGAGTGCTCCTAAAAAAATTGTTAAATATTTTTGACTTTTAATCTAAAAAAAATACAATAGTCAAAATAGTTAATCGGCATTGCTTACCTACGTTGTTGCCATTTTTCGTTATAAATTTCTCAGTTCTTTGACTGTTGACTTTACCTTATAAATTCATTTATTCCCTTGCTTCCCAAGTAGGTTAGCCACGTCGTCTTCATTCGAAGAGAGATCAGAGAAAGAGGGAACACAGAAATTTGGTCTCAACACAGCAAAAATGGTGCAACTGAAGAATAAGCAAGTAATTCTAAAGAAGTATGTGTCTGGATTTCCCAGAGAATCCGATTTGCAAGTGGTTGAAAATTTCATCGAATTGAAGAAGGTTCCAGAAGGTTCGAATCAGATTCTGCCCAAGAATCTCTACTTATCCTGTGATCCCTATCAGCGAGCCATGATGAGCAATTCATTTGTTTCCAGATTTGGTTCTTATACTCCTGGTGCTGTAAGTCTTGGCTCTCGGCACTAGACCTCTTTGATCTATATGACCCATATTTATTACAGAGTCGAGGAGAGAAGCCTTCTCGAGGCAGAGGAAAATCTGGACTTCTAGATTTAATAATTTTATTTTTATTTTTTATTTATATTAATCAATCTGAAAGTTTATATTTATATAGATGTTCCAATTTAATATAAAAAATTTAAATTAACTTTTCAGATATATTCTTGACAGTATAAATATATTTTGAATATAACAGTAAATTTATTAAAAAATTTATATTAATTTTAAACTATCTATATTAAATTTGGACTGTTAGATTGATTAATATATTTATTAAAAAATATAATTTTATATATTTTTTATTTTAAAAATATAAATAAGAAATAAAAAATAAAAATTAAATTTAAATCATCTAGATTAAATCTGAATGATTCAGATTAAACCTCTGCCTCAAAGGAGAGATGAAGGAGGCTTCTCTCAAGTCCTATTTATTACAGTATGTTTGGTTCAATTGCTGTGTCAGTGCTAATCAATATTGCATTATAATTGGGAGTGGTTAGCTTTCTAGGTGGACTTATGATAATTATTATTACTTATTACCACCAAAATAATGGTAATACTCTTTCATAGCTCTCGATGAATTTTTATTGCACTTCATTACTATCCCTCTATTGCAAAATGATATTAACATTGCATTGCATCTCTTCCAACAGAGTGAGGAATTAAACCAAACGATCTCTAATTCTTTTCTTAGCCTAGTATATACTATTACTATTACTTTTCCATATAGATGGAGACTAAAGAATGAGGAACATATGAATTAGGCCTGCCTGTTTCATGGCTTTATAAATTGTAATGAAAAAAGGAATGAGTGAAATGATTTTATTTAAGCTTGATCTCATGTTTCTTTTTTGAAAAAAGTACAAAATTCTAGCAATTAAACAAAAAGATCAAAGTAAATAAAGGCATGTTTGGTTTCTTTTTCTTTCTTTCTTTTTGATTAATCAGTTTCTATTTTTAAAAACAAGAACATTATAAAAATTTATCTGGATAACTATTTTAATTTAATTATTTCCAAAAAAAATTTCATTTTTAAAAAGAAAAAAAGAATCATTTTAAAGTTTTTTTATTTTATTTTTCTTGTTTTTAAAATATATTATTTGATTATTGAAAACTACAATTACCTTACCCAATTACTATCACAAGCAACCAATGTGAACTACTGACAACTATCATCATTGACCAATTTTTTAATTCTAAATTAACATATCAAATAGATTTTTTTTACTTTTTTTGGAAAATAAATTTAAAAATTATATTGCAAATAGTTTTTTATAAAATGAAAACAAAAACCAAACTGACTCTAAAAATCAATTTTTTTGAAGGGCTTCATGATTCTAGTGACACAAAAGCTTTTGGTACCAATGTAATAAATCTTTATAAATATATCAACAAGTAATAGGTTTAGTAGAATATGTTAATCTCTCACAATATAATGAATTAAGATTTAAATTTTCATCAGAAGAAGTGCTTATATTTAGTGTTTGATCATGCATTGAACAAGAAAGCACCTGTGCTCAATAAAAGTATTGTTATGAATATTAGAGATTTAACAAAAATGTATAATTGTGAAATTAATTACTGATATAGTTGTGTTGAATAATTGCAGCCAATACATGGATATGGTGTGGCTAAAGTTGTTGAATCTGGGCATCCTGACTATGAAAAGGATGATCTAGTTTGGGGATATGCTATCTGGGAAGAGTACAGCCTGGTTCCCTCAAGCCATATGCTTTTCAAAATAGAGCACACCAATGTTCCACTTTCTTACTATACTGGAATTCTTGGTAAATATTCCAGTATTTCAATTTATTTTTTTATGATTATTATTTCGATTTATTTTGAGACAATTCATGATGTTCTTGATTTATACATGTGTGGGCCCCAGTAATCTTAAGGAAAGTTTTCATGTGATAAACGGTTTCTATGTCCGATGTTTGTTTTAGAAGATATCATGTACTAAAACTTCAACCTAATAGCTTGTGCAACAATCTATATTATGTTTTATTTTTTTAAAATGGTTTTCCAGAAGAACCTCCCACATTTTTTTTTTAGAAATTTGGATTAAAATAGTTTCATATATCCATTATAGCCTTGAGTTAGTCCCTATATTTTTTATATATGATATTTTGAATATACATGATTGAGGGTTTATTTTTTTAAAAGAAATTATTTTAGTTAAATTTAACACTTGGGTTGTTAAGAGAACAGTGAGCTAAATTATTAAAGGTTTTGTTGGAAAAAAAATATTTTTAGCCTTTTTTTTTATGAATTATTTCAAACAGCTTATCATGATAAGCCTTTTTTTTTTTTGGGTCAAAATATATATCTCTTCATGCAATTAGCTTAAGTTCCTCCAATAACTCATTTTCAACAGCTTCCCCATGAGCACCATAATCATTTTTTTTAATCTTAAACAAACTTGTGCTCTTGATTCTTAAAAATCATAGTGAAATTTTATTTAGGAAAAAATCATTCAAGAATTGTTGAGGTAATTTAACAACAAAGATAAAAGGATTTGAAATATCACTGCAAAATCAAGCAACTGATTTGAAAATAATTTTAGATACAAAAAAGACTATAATACCCCTTCTCTTCTTTAAATTATAAATTATAGTGGAATTGTATTTACTTTACTTATGCTTGTTATCTTAATTAGCCTAATCCCACTAGTTAATTATTTTGCTTCCTCAATAACTATATTCTTTTCACCCCCATTGCAGGTGTGCTAGGAATAACTGCATATGCTGGTTTCTATGAAATAGGATGTCCCAAGAAAGAAGATTGTGCTTTTGTCTCAGACGCATCTGGAGGAATTGGTCAACTTGTTGGCCAATTCGCAAAACTCTTAGGTTGTTATGTTGTGGGAAGTGCAGGAAGTAAAGAGAAGGTATGGTTTTAGTAATAGGCACAATTATACTTCTCAGGAGCTTGTTGAAATCAGCATTCACGTTCCCTAATTTGGGTCTTATGTACTTATAAAAGTGACTTTACATAGTACCGTCTAGTGCTTGGTTCAACCGACAAGAATTGTACCAATTTAATTAAAGATTTTGAGTTCAAGTCTTGAAGGCAAAGTTGTTATATACTTGATAGAAGAGCTTTGATGTCCTTTATGATCTTGCCCGACCTCATCCATGAGTCTAGACCCTGTTAAGTCCTATAATTGGGTAGGCTAGGATACCACATGACCCTGTTAATATGATGCACATTTAGAATCACTTTCTAATGAAGAGTGAAAGCGAGTTCCACATAGAATCATTCAATCACATTCTTTTGTATCAATATCTCTCATAGTCTCAACTAAAAAAGATTCCACTTAACTTGACCCCTTCCATGTATCGTACATGCTTATTTCTCTGAATGTTTAGAAACAACTTTCACAATTGGATAGCCGTGGCTTTCAATTTGAAATCCCTTCACAGTGAAGGCATGTAATAAACTAGATAGCCCTAATGCACGATCACTTGAAGCAGATGCTTCCTTAAAAAAAATAATAATAATAACGAATAAGATGATCAAATTGTTGTAAAAGAGTATGACTAAAATGACCAAAATCCATCTGTCGTTTGTGTGCTCTTGTCTGATGAACTTTCTTCAATTTAAAATTAGGTGGATCTATTGAAGAATAAACTGGGATTTGATGAGGCTTTCAACTACAAGGAAGAGCCTGACTTGGATGCTACATTAAAAAGGTACATACTATCAAACAGTACTATCTCAGACTTAAGGATTTTAATTAATTTGCCACAATTGCAATTTGGATAGAAGAAATGGGAAGAAAATAGGAAGGCAAAAACATTAGAAAGGAAAAAAAAACTTTCAATAATAATAACAATTTACTATTTATTCGAATTTTCCCTCTTAGTATTCTTCTCTTTCTGATTTTCTTTCTATCCAAGTGAAAAATAAAAGCTAATAGATATCGATTTACAAATCAGGTACTTCCCAAAAGGCATTGACATTTACTTCGACAACGTAGGAGGTAAAACACTTGACATGGTGCTTGTGAACATAAGAATCCATGGCCGAATATGCCAATGTGGAATGATCTCACAGTATAATCTTGATCAACCTGAAGGCATAACAAATCTAGCACAACTCATTTATAAGAGAGTTCGCATGCATGGATTTAGTGCAAGTGATTATTATCAGCTCTATCCTAAATATTTAGGGTTCATATTGCCTCTTATCAAAGAAGGGAAGATAGTGTATGTGGAAGTTAAAGTTGAAGGCCTTGAGAATGGCCCTGCAGCTTTGGTTGGTCTCTATGGTGGTCACAATGTTGGCAAACAAGTTGTGGTCATTGCTCATGAGTGATATTAGGGATCATGATCCTCTACATGATATATACATCTCATTATTTTGTACCATTGTATGTCGGGAGGATCACAAGGTCCTTTGTAGGGGATTTCTTTATACTTGGGTCCTTTTCTTAAAAAAATAGTTGTTAATATAGTATATCATAATTGTCATTAATCTTAAAAGGGTTTTAATTCAAAGGAATCAAATTATAAGCAAGTCAAGATATCTAGTTGTCATTCTCTCTTGTTAATGTTATACTAATATGTGTGATATCCACTATAGGAACAATTAATGTTTTCAGGTGAATAAAGTTTTCATTTGTTGTTTCATAAATAAAAAGTCTCGTGCCTTGCATATAGATTTGTTACATTCAAACCCTTTATACTCAGGCCCCCAAAAGTTTTTTTTTTTAATTAAAAAAAAATCAGTATGCAATTTAACTATTGGAAAGTTAAAGCTTATTTGATTCCATTTTCTAGTGTGTGTTTTGCCATGTATTCTTTTTAACGTTTGTAAAACAGTTCTGTAAAATTACTTTCCAGATGAACAGGTCAGAATAATCTGTAATCAAATTAATATGAATAAATCATTGTTTGTAGAATCATACCTAAAAGCAAAATTCAAGAGCTCAAGGAACACATGGATAGCAATGTTGATGAAATCTTAAGAGCTCTCAAGTGCGCACGTGAGCAACATGATGTGGGAAAAACTTTGTCAAGACCTAGAGGAGATCATGGTTCTTTTGTGGCACTAGAAAATAGTCTCCTCATCAAAAAGCCTTCAGCTATGTCAGTTACACAAAAAAAAAAAAAAACGATGCTAACAACATTAGTGGTCCTGAAATTGGGAGCTTAGTTATGGAAGAAGTCAAGGAAATAACCAAGGCTAGCACAAATGTTATTAAGAAATAAGAGAATGATGCCGATTTAGAAGAAATCTCCATGAAATATGAAGGCATAAGTCTTGAATTGAATCAAGGTTCGAAATTGGTGGTCAAAGATGTTGAATCACAAGCATTAGAGATTTATCAAGTTAGGATCTTGATAAGAAGAGTGTTCAACTTTGTCCAATTCCTACTTCAAATCATCCATGTACTACACCATTTGCTGGAAAGGTTGTTATGGTTATCAAAGAACATATTCTTTTCCCATTTGACAACAACCTGTACAACTACCTTGTTCATTGGGAAGGTTTTCAAATCACTAAAATCACATTGCTTAATATTCCCATAATCTCATTTTCTATTACCTTGTGTGTTGGAAAGGATTTCTAGATTAGTTGCCACTAGGAGGAATTCCCTGCATTGTACTCATAGTGGAGTTACATTGACCTTTTTTTTTTTTTTTAACTCTCCAGAGGAGAGTTCCATCAAGCAAGGGAGAATCATGAAATATGAGAATAACGTATTTGAAGAAACCTACCTAGCATATTATTATTATTGTATTTCCTTTAACTTGTAAGAAACCCACCTAGTTTGCAGCTTCTTTTGGTGTTATTTTAATAATTTGTTAGAAGGGAAATCTCAACATTAATTTTATATGGACAAGTGATTAAGATTTTCTTAATAGGTAGGAAAGTTAGTTTAAATAGACTAGCTTGAATTTGTAAGAGAACACTTTTGATGAATGTAATATTTGATTGAGATTTCTGATAGCTCATCTCCCTCTGCGTCTGCCCCTCCCTCCCTTGTTTCCCTACTGTGCTGTTCATTCTTATTTCTCCCTCTCTGTTCTCGCCTCCTCTCTCTCATTCTCTATTCCTGATTTTTCTCTCCACTCTCTCCCTCTATTCAACCCCGTGCAAGTGTGCGAGTGTGTTACATCACCAACCCCCCCCCCCAAAAAAAAAAGGTTTCTCTCCACCGTGTTTTCCCTTCAACGTGCCCCATTTTTCTCAAAAATGGATCTATCCTATCAAATATAACCTAAGTGGCTAAGTCTTGCTCACTCTATTACAATCTGAATTCAAAATTCAACCATACAATTTTTAAGTATTGACTTTTAATTGGTTACTAGATCATTCATACCCTTATTTTTTATTAGCACAGTGTTCAACCAAGAAAACAAGCTAGATTTAATAAGGCTATGTTAAGAAATTTGGAAGGAATATTAACACATTAATTACATTTCTAAATCCACACGCAGAAACCTTAACCATGGTTTGCATTGAAACTTTGAAAGAAAATTAACGAGAGAATATTAGCAGGAAAAAATCCAGAAGTAGCAATTTTTATTTTTATTTTTTACTATATTTGAAATTTTCCCTCCTAAAATTCTCACCTTCCAATTTTCCACCCACTTTCTCCTCCATCCAAACCATGTCTAAATGATGTGTAAGAAAGACAAAAGAGGGAATAATTGAAATGACCAATAGTACATGATGACAGAACAGCAAAAGGCAAGCAACTCATTGAGCAATTGAAAATGCTCGTCACATTACCCGCACTACCATGGTTGAGTACCCATACAACTTTTCAAGTATGGTGACACAAGCATCATAAAGGCCCTGTTGACATTCCATGCTTTGTCGCAGCAGCCAAGGTGATGAAGTTGTGAATTTGTGGAACTAAAATCTTTGAATGCATCTATGACTACATCATAAATTTCATTCCTCCACTGCAGTGAGTCAAACTAAACACACAAATGATCCCATTGATTTGGAATTATCCTGTCTTCAAGCCTCAGGAATGTCCTTGAGATCTGCATAAAGGTTTTATTTCACACCACCTTCAGAGTTTCCAGAGACTTTGGGCCTGTTTGATTATTTGTTTTTAGAACAGTTTTTTTATTCTGAAAAACAAAAAATATGGAAAAAAAAACTGCTTGAAAATATGTTTTTTGTTGTCTGTTCTAAAAACCAAAAAAGAAGAAAGTTGTTCTGAAAAACAAAAGCCTGAACATCTTTTAAATGTTTTGTTACCTTTTGTTCTGCAAAACTAGATAAAAGACATAAAATACCATGCTTTCATTAATGACAATTATGTAATAAAATAAATTGCTCTTTCACTATTTATTTTATCAATTTAAATATGTTTTTCAAAATAATAATTCAACAACAACAACAGCAGCAACAACAAGCCTTCATCCCACTAGGTGGGGTCGGCTACATGGATTGCAAGACAATATTGTGCTCTATCAATTATCAAGCTTTTAGAAATATTATTAATTAAGAGATCACGTTTAACAACTTTCACGAGTGTTCTCTTAGGCCTTCCTCTACCCCTCTTAATTGAACTCAAAGTTATATGTTCCACTTTTCTCACTGGTGTCTCCCTTGGTCTTCTTTATACATGCCCAAACTATCTCAACCAATTTTCTACCATTTTTTCCTCAATAGGTGCTACCCTCACTTTTTTGTGTACGTGCTCATTTCAAATTTTATCTTTACGTGTATGTCCGCATATCCATCGTAACATTCTCATCTCTGCTACTCTAATTTTATACTCTTGCTGTCCCATTAGAGACCAGCATTCACTAATATATAACATTGCTGGTTTGATAGTAGTGCGATGAAACCTTTCTTTAAGTTTATTAGGGACCTTTCGGTCGCAAATAATTCCTTTAACTTTTCTTCAATTAAACCACCCAGCTTGAATCCTATGTGAAATATCTCTACTGATTTCGCCATCATTTGAATAATGGCTCCCAAATATCTAAACTTTTCCACTTGAGATATAATTTGATCTTCTAATTTTACTTCCAAATTATTGTCGAATAGTTTCTTACCAAATTTACAATATAAATATTCCGTCTTACTCCTACTCAGATGAAAACCTTTCGACTCCAATGTCCTCCTCCATAACTCAAGTTTGCAATTAACCTCTTCTATTGTCTCTGTCTGCTATAAGAATTATATCATCCGCGAAGAGCATACATTTGGGAATTTTTCCTTGAATATGTTCTGTCAAAACATTTAGGATCAAGTTGAACAGATAAGGACTTAGAGATGATCCCTGATGTAGTCCAATCTTTATAGAAAAATCCTTTGTTTGACCACTAGGCGTTCTTATACTAGTTTTTATCCCCTCATATATATCTTGTATGGCTTTAATATAAGCAATCCGTACTCCTTTTTTTTCCAACGCTTTCCAAAGCACTTCTCTTGGTATACATCATAAGCTTTTTCTAAATCAATAAAAACCATGTGTAAATCTTTATCTTTACAACGATACTTTTCCATTAATCCCCTTAATAGATAAATCACCTCTGTAGTTGATCAACTTGGCATAAAATCAAACTGATTCTCAGAAATACTTCTCTCCAATCTCAGCCTATGCTCAATTACTTTCTCCCACAATTTCATTGTGTGGCTCATGAGTTTAATCCCTTTATAGTTAGTACAATTCTGAATATCTTCTTTATTTTTATAAATAGGAATTAATGTACTTCTCCTCCACTCATCAGGCATTTTCTTGGACCGTAAGATCACATTAAATAACTTAATTAACCATCTCACCCCTTTTTCACCTAAACATTTCCACACTTCGATAGATATACGATCAAGTCCTTTGGCTCTACCATTTGCCATTTTCTTAAGAGTTTTATTTACCTCCTTATCACGTATTATTCGACAGAACGATAAATTTTGTTCTCCTTCACCAGTTATTAAATTCTCTAAGTTACTAGATGAACCCTCTCCATCATTGAAATGTTTGGAAAAGTAAGTCTCCCATTTATTTTTAATTTCATCATCTATAACTAAAATTCTTCCCTCTTCAAAATAATTGTTTTAAGATAATAATAATTCAAACAGATTTTTTTCATTTTTTGTTTCCAAACTTGTTCTGAAAAACTATTGTACATAATTGTTTTAAGAACATAAAAACAGAAAACAAAACCAAACAAACCCTTCATTTCCATTGGAAATATCCAACAGAATTCTGGATGACTCCTTAACTTCACCTGTTTGTTGGAATTGCCGCACAAGGGAAATTTTGGAATGAACGGACATTTCAGACAGCTACCACCATTGTTCTAGAGCAAGAATCACAACACATTTACCTGCCACGTTGCCAACATCCACCGTGCCATTTGTGTTTTTGTCATGAAGGGCACATTATACTTAAATCAGAGTTTTGGAGTTTCTTCCACCAGGGCTTTAGGAATTACAATCCTTCATATATGCCCAATCAGGCCAAAGACTGCCACAAGACGAATTTCATAATTTTCAACAGTCTTGCCCAAGTCTCAAGTCTGCCAACACATCCCACTGAGTTGACCAGGAACAGTATCACCATGGCTTAGTAAAAGAGGCTTTGAGCATGCTGCCAACGGTCATGCTTGAACAATAGAAAGCCCTGGCCTAGGTTCTGTAATGATCACTCATTTCTTCCATAAACCACACCTCACATCTTCATTAAGCAAGCGATAAAGCTCAGTTAGATACCCAGCGCACTTGGTGTTATTCATGAACAACATGATATGATTTTCAACCAATGCTAGTGCAATGTGCCATACATTGTAAGTTTTCCCAACATATTCGATGAGTTCACTTGGTATTCAGGGCCGAGCAGAGCTTGCACAACATTTGATCTGCTGGCTTGCTCCCTCTAATGATAATCTTTAGACAGATGAGTGACCATCTGACAAGTGTTACTTAACTCTTCCTTATACAATGTAACCCAGACAATTGGAAACACCAATACCCATAAATGATATGCATCATTAGCATCTGTGTGCCACGTGGGCAAACTCTCTCAATGGAATCAAAAAGTCAGCCACCTGGAAAAAGAAGAAAAATGAGATAAGAAATTGAAAAATATTTCCTATCTAATAATTTAGTTTCATGAGTTGACTGACATTGCCACAGAAAACATTGATGAAACCGAAGCACTTCTCTAGAACCATCATATTGAAGTAGATAACCAAAAATACCATACATGATAACTTTCAATATCATGCGATCTTTTTAACAAACAGTCCCCATCGTGCAAGTAACATGTTTATTCATCCTTAAGATAGACCTTTGTATATTACCATGAAAAGCAAACTCAAGATGTTCTGGATAAGCATTAATATGCTCAACAATAGGTTCGAGATCAAACATCAATCCAGCAGTTTGCTCGTGTTGTCAAGTGACATCCCTGATGATTCTGGAAGGAGTGTTCGCCAAACTATAAAATGAAATAGAATTTAGGAAGAGTAGATAGATAGAATCAATAGATAGAAGAGCTGACCCATAAAGCTTTATTCATTAATTAGAGAACCCACCTAGCTGGTTTGTGCATGATGATGAGAAGAGGGCTTAATTACATTTTGCAATTTTTTTAAGAAAACATGATACCAAAAATAGATTTCATTCACCATGAATGACATTATATATCATAAAAGAATGTGAATCCTCATCCCAAGGAAGTGAGAATGAAGACTATCAAACGTCATTTTTTTTTCCCATTCTCTTTCCCTACTGTACTATTCCTGTGCACCAAACGAGCCCAATGGTACGTTCATGCAATTCATCGAAGATATTAAATAAGACAGATCAATCATCATGGCATAGTTGCTCCTTACACAAAGCTCCAACCAGGCTCTTTAGCTGTCCCAGATCCTTTCATCAACCCACGAATTCTAAGGACTTCATCCCACTGTCCTAAATCCGCACAAATGTTTGAGAAGGAAACATAAGCCCCAGCATCACATTGCTCCAATTCCATTACTTTTTGGGCTGCTAACTTCCCAAGCTCATAATCACCATGGACCTTACAAGCTGCGAGGAGTGTTCCCCAAATTAAAGCATCAGGCTTTACAGGCATAGTGTTAATGAAGTTTTCTGCCTCTTTTAGTCTACCTGATCGACCAAGAAGATCAACAATACAGGCAAAATGACGATGACAAGGCTTAATGCCACAGTCTCTGACCATTGAATTAAGATAGAAGAAGGCTTCTTCAACCAGCCCACTATGACTACAAGCCAATAACACTGCCACAAAAGTTACTGCATCAGGTTGAATGCCTTCTCTTCTCATGAGTTCATAGGTAGCTAAGGCTTTGGAACCTTGACCATGTTGAGCATAGCTCACAATAATTGCTGTCCAACCTATCAAATCAGGCTTCTCAATATGGTCAAATGCTTTGCAGCAATCCTCCAAACTTCCACATTTTGAGTACATGGTCACTAGTGAACTACCAACATATACATCTGATTGCAAGCCCAATTTTTCAATGTAGGCATGCAGTTGAGTCCCAGCTGATGATCTATTTGACAGTGCAATGGCCCTCAGGACAGATGAAATTATGAAGGTGTCAATGGGTAAATCAGTCAAGATCATATCACGGAACAACAGAAGTGCCTCATCAATTAAGCCATTTTGGGCATATCCTGAGACTAAGGAAGAGCACGCAACCTTATCCTTTTGAGGTAGCATATTGAACACCCTCTTTGCAAGCTCCAACCTTCCACATTTTGAGTACGTGGACACAAGTGCACCACCAATAACTGTGTCTGTTCCCATTCCCAAACGAAAAGCATAACCATGTATTTCTTTACCTGTCTGTAGAAAACTAAGAGCAGAACATGCAGTTAGAACTGCAGTTAAGGTCAAGTAATCAGGTAAAATTTCTTGAGATAGCATCTCTTTAAATAGGTGAAAAGCATGACCTGCAAAGCCATGTTCAACAAAACCAGCAATCATTGAGGCCCATGAGACATTGTCTTTGTCAGGAGCTTCTTCAAAAACTCTATGAGATTCCTCTAAAGAGCCACATTTAGAGTACATGGTGAAAAGTGAACAGCCTACCGTAGCATTAGTAACTAGTCCAGACTTCAAAGTGTAACTATGCATCTGTCTCACTATATATAAGCAGTTTATGATACTTAACACTATAGACATACAATACTCATCTGGTCTAACACCTTCTTGCAACATAAACACAAAAAATTCAACCGCCTTTCTAGAATTTTGATTGTAAGCATAAGAAGACATCATTGCTGCCCATATGCGCACATCTTTCACATATTTTATCTCACTGAAGGCTAAATCAGAAAGTCTGACTTCTCCTATTTTTGCATACATATTGATCAAGGTAGCTTGGACAGTTGCCTCTGAAATTAAAGGTAATTTTAATATTAAGGAATGAATTTGGCTTGCCTCTTCAATCATCCCTGGCTTGGAACAAGCAGCAAGTACACTAGTAACAGTATAGGTATTTATCTCCTCCCCTGATTCTCTCATATGCTTAAAAAACTTAAGTGCAGAAATAGAATCATTCTCTTGCACAAATCCAGAAATTATAGCAGTCCAGGAGACCACATTATGGACTGGCATCTGCAAGAATTTCCTACCAGCTTCATCCATACGTCCACATTTGGCATATAAATCAACAATAGCAGTATCCACAAAAATATCTGCAGCAACACATTTTATTACTCGTCCATGAATTATTTCCCCAATCTGCAGTTCTTTGAGTGAACAGCATGCTGTCAAAACACTTGGAAATGTATAGCCATTTGGCTTTAGAGATTGATGACACATTTGACAAAAAAGATTTAAGGCGGCCCAGTACTCTCCATTTCTAACTGCCCCAGAAATCATAGCATTCCAACAAACCATGTTATCACATGAAACATCAAAAAAGACCCTTTGAGCCTCTTCAAAGCTGCAATTCTTGGAAAACATATCTATCATCCCAGTGCGGACATAACCATTAAAAACAAACCCTTTTTTCATTGCAAGTGAATAAACTTGCTTACCTAATGCTGAAGCTTGCAAGGCAGCACAGGCTGAGAGAACACTCCCATAAGTAAACTCATTTAGCTCCTCACCAATTGAATGCATCTGACAAAACATCTCCCATGATTTCTCATACATGGAATTGCCATTGTAACCAGATATCATGATATTCCAAGACTGAATATTTGGAAGAGTAATTGAATCAAACAGCTTGCAGGCAACAACCATCGCAGAAGATTTACAGTACAAGTTGAGCAAAGAGTTTGTGAAAAATACATTGGATTGCAATGCATCAATTTTGACCAGGTAGGCGTGTAAGATTTTTGTGCTTCTAATGCTGGGCTGTCTTGACATTCTGTGATCACTGAAGAGCTTAAAAGGGCCCAAAGGTTTGGAGTTCTCTTCATGTTCATGAGAAATAGGGTATGACATTCCGATCAAAGCAAGCGAGGATGTGAATCTGCAAGCAAGGTGTGAAATCCTAGCTGGGAAGCATTGATCTATAAGAGAAATCATAAGTGTTGTACAATGAGGACTCGGCACAGCAAGTTCCAGTTGCACTAACTTGTAACGATGTGTGATGTGAAGTTAAAATGAAAAATGACAATTCAAGACATGAGAAATTCTCCTAGATCCTTTCTTGCTAGTCACCTCCCTCTCAATTTATTTGTTTAAAGTTCAACTGCACTCCCAATCCTAATGTAAATTTTATTCTTCCTGCATCAAAGGAGGAAGAAGATTTCATCAACAATGCTAGACAGTCCAATGCTAGATACAGCTATGGAAGTTCAACCAAATGTCTCTAATACGAAACGAATAATTACAACAATCTGATAAATGAGATCAAAGCCATCAAGGCGCCCATATCATACAAAAACTTCTTTGGCAGTTTGGCTATAATGGGCATCATGGCTTTAATGAGATGAAAGACACAAGCTATGTTCATGATGGAAGAGATTGAAGCATAATGGACTCTATCAACGCAAAATTTTGGTCAGCTTTGATCAAAGTCCATAGGGTTTATTTTTTTAGGATGGGTCCTCATAATTTTAAACCGTGAATCTTCAAGTAACCGTGTTAAACAACTGCTGACGTGGCTTAATGATGTTAATAATGATTATGTGGTGTGAATTATATGGCAGATAATTACATGAGCTGGCAGAAGAGGCAAGGCAGGAAAACACAGCTTAGAAAATGCTCCAAAACACGACCATACACGAGGGCTTTGAAAACGCGTCTGAAAGGGTTTTGTAAAGCTTTCTTCTACGAATTTTCTCGACCATTCTGGAACTTCCTCTGCCATTTTTTCTCTACCATTGATCACTGATATAATTTAGAATCAGTTCGGAAACTGAACACTTTTTCTCTACCATTAACTTGCTTTGCTATATACAACCATGCTATTAATTTATAATCAGTTTCGATTTCGAATATGCAACAGGCTTTCTCTAGCAGCAACTTGAATATATATGCCTTCAATTGGAAATAGGCTTCGATTATGCTTTCTCATAGTTTTATTATTGGTATTCTATGTCTCTTTCACATTCTTGATCAACCTTTCCACATTTTAATAATGTGGATGTGTGTAAGAGGGAAACCAAAAATGAAGCGAAGATGTGATGTTCATGCAAACCTTCGAACCCCTGCTCCTTTGCCGCCGAGCCCTTCGTCCCTCTTCTCATCGCCAATTCAGATCCCAAGTTCTTCTTCTCCTTCGCCCGATCTTTACTTCTTCAATGTTTGAAGCCGACGACGCGGCGACGCCAAGCCCCTGGAGCTTCATCCGAAGTTCTGCGCCTCTCGTGCTGCTTGGCTTTGCCAACTTTTTTTAAAAAAAAAAAAATTAAAAAGGCAAGCAAGAGTTTGAAAAACTAAAAAATAACAACTAACCTAAAGTTCAATAAAAGAGAATAAGAAGCATACTAACTAACATGTTACTTATCTTCTAAGTATTGCTTCAAACATCTTGAAAAAACCATAGGTATCAATATAATCTTTAAATTAGTAGCCCTTTTTGATTTTGCTAGAAAATTAGTGCATTCAATATTGTTCTAGTTGACATAGAGAATTTTCACCTCCCCATCAACTTTTTTTTTTTAAATGAGACAAATTTACTATATAAATGAGTTGTAACTTTTGTTAGCTTTAATTGATAATTTGACTATTTCACACAAAAAATAAAAGGGAGGATTACATCGAGGGTCTTTCAAAAAGAATTTATAATGTGAAGAACCAGTACATTCTGAATTAACATTCAAAGATCAAAATCCTTAAATATAATTAAACTATAGAAATAAATTACCTAAATATCCTTGTTCCCTTTTTTTTTAAAAAAAAAAAAGCCCCACTACTTGTCAATGCTACTTGACCATTGTTGCTTACGAGCCACTGTCGTAGCTCACCAAAGCTTTGGCACTGGCAACATGGTCAATGATAGTCAATTTTAAAAATTGGGAGCCAAGGGGTTTAAATCCCAAACTCTTTGGTTCCTTAAAATATTGAAGATCATTGAGACAAACAATTCTTGAAGATATTTAGTGCAAAATAATATATATTATAATGTAATTTTTGTTTCCAAGCATTTTAATGACTGTTGTTTATTTTGATTTCTCAAAGTATTTTTATTAATATTTAAACAATCACTTGTTAATATTTAAACTTGACTTGTCAATATTAAAAAAAGATGTCAATTTTAAAAAACCAACTTATTCCCTAGATATTAATAAATTATCAATATTATACTAAATAAAATAATATATATGTTACAAATTTAATTTCCAAACATTTCCATGGCAATTTTCGAACAATCACATTTTAATGTTTAGACTTAACTTGTTGATATTAAAAAAAGTTATTAATTTTCAAAGACCAACTTATTCTGTGAATACTGATAAGTTATTAATATTATGCTAAATAAAATATTATATATGTTAATAATTTAGTTTCAAGCATTGCCACGGCTGTTGTTAATCCTAGATTTATTATTGTTAATATCTCACCGATCATTTGTTACCATTTGGACTTGACTTGTCAATATTAAAAAAGTTATTAATTTCTAAGACCAACTTATTCTTTGGATATTGATAAGTTATTAATATTATGCTAAATAAAATAATATACATTGTTATAAACTTGGTTTCCAAGTAAACATATGAACTATCACTTATGACTATTTAGATTTGACTTGTCAATATTCAAACACTTATCAAAACAAACATCCAAAATTTTAACAAGTTCAAATATTAACAATTAATAACAGTTCATCTAGCATTATTAGCATCCATGAAAATATTTGAAAACTAAATTTATAACACAAATACACATGTTTAGTATAATATTGATATTGATAACTTGTCAATAATAAAGAAATAATTTAATCTTCAAACATTGACAACCTATTTTTTGAATATTGACAAGTCAAGTCCAACTATTAACAACAATACATCCGGAATTAACAATGACCGTGAAAATTCTTAAAAACTAAATTTATAACATATATATTATTTTATTTAGCATTATATTAATAACTTATCAATATTCAAGAAACAAGTTGGAATTTAAAAATTGACAACTTTTTTTTTAATATTGACATGTCAAATTTGAATATTAACAAGTGACTATTCTAATATTAGCAACAACATGTGTAGAATAAACAACGGCAATAGAAATGTTTGAAAACAATATAATGTAAATATTATTTTGCACTATACATTTTAAAAAATTGCTTGGCTCAATGGTCTTCAATATTTTGGAGAATCAAAGGGTCTTATGTTCAAACCTCCTTGGCCTCCAATTTATAAAGTTGACTGCCGTTGACCATGTTGCCAGTGTTAGAACTTCGATGGTCAAGTTGGAGCCAAAGCTTGGTGATGACTAGTGTTTTTTTTTTTTTAAAGGAACATGGACATTTAGGTAATTGACTTCTATAATTAATTACATTTAAGGGTTTTAGGCCTTTTGGGTTATAAATTCTCTTCCAAGGGCCCTCAATGCAATTCTCCAAAAAAAAAAATGCTCATTCAAAATGATGGAACCAACTAGGCAAGGAAGAAATATCATTGGCCACATCTTCTGATTGTGATGAATATGATCTTTGGTAATAAGCTTCTTGTGAATACAATTAAGCCTTAAAGACGTTGATGAGAGATTGTGGTTTCATGATAATCAAATATCCACTATAAATCTAGTTAAATAAGAAAAAAAGATATATCATAAGCACCAAGTAGACATTTTCTTGTTCATTTTGGAATGCCGTCACTTGCCTTTGTTGCCATTTTTGTCTTCCACCACGTGGTGTACGAACACATAAGTCCTCTGTTCCTCTTCCTCTCTCTCTTCCTAACTTCATCTTCTTCTTTCAATCTTGTAGCTAGGTTCGTGGTTCATTTCCCTTCAACCATGGTTCCTTGCGTTTGTGGGTTAAATTGGCAAATGAAAAAAAGGTTAGTTTTTTTTTTTAAGAAATTGTATAAAATTTGAGTAGTTTATTTGAATATAGATTGAATGGGTTATAATTATTTAAAGTAGGGATGATTTTTTATACAATGTGCTTAAATTTTAGTTGAACAAAAATGCTCTGTCTACTACCAATTCTAAAATTTGAATTGTGAAATTGTTAAATGTGATTGATTGAGTGATTTTTAATATGAATTTATTGTTATTTTAATGTTGAATTTGTTAAAAGAGGGCAATAAGCCTGGAAAATGCTTAGTTTTATGCCGTTATGCTATTGAATTTTTTTTAAAATTTTAGTCTTGTAAATATGACCATTGTTAAAATTGTTTTATGGTCTGGAGGGAGTTTAATTATACTTTTATTTTGTTTCTTGAATTAATTTAAAATTTTGTAGATTAAAATAGTGTAGAGAAAAGAGCATAATGCTTAGGAAATACTCATTAATCATTATATTGCTAATTTATTTTAATTTTAATTTTGCCCTTGAAAAGAACAACTATAAGCGTAGTTGAAGTTGTTAAAGTAATTAAACTCGTGATTCACTGAATGCTTTTCTATCTTTACCATCTTTCTTAAATAAGGGCATTATAGATAAAGAGTGAATGTTTGCCAATTGTCTATCTAAAGGATATTGGGATGGGGTGGTAGAATTTGTTAAGTTTGTAGTAAATAAAGCAAAAAACTGTGAGCGAATTATTTATCGTGTTTAAGTTGTGGCAATGTGAAGTTAGTTTCTCCTGAGACATGTAAATTTTACTTGTTTAAGTGTGAAATTGAATTGAGTTATAAGTGTTGGGTAAAGCATGGGGAGGCATCTGAAGATGTGAATAATAATAGCCAAGGGTATAGAAAGTTATTCATCATCACCGTCTTTTGACACAAATGCATATGAGGCTGACTATCTTGAAGAACTAGTTAATGTAATGGAAGAGGAACTCGAGAAGTTTTCAAAGAAGTTAGAAAGGTTGAAAACTGATGTGGAGACACCTTTGTATAAGGGTTGTACTGAGTTCACTTTATTGTCCGCTGTGTTAGGATTGTATAACTTGAAACCAACAAGTGGGTGGAGTGATATAAGTTTTTCAAGCTTTCTTTCTCTAATCAAACTCATGCTATCAAAGAATAACAAGCTTTCAGGTCAGCTATGTGATGCAAAGAAGGTGTTATGCATAGTTGGCTTGGGCTATAAAAAGATGGATGCTTACCCTAACAATTGCATTTTATTTAGGAATGAATATAAAGAGCTAACCTACTATCATAATTGTGAGACATCACGTTATAAGCAAAACAAGAAGAGTCTAGAGAAGGTAATTGGTAGTTTTCTATTATTCCAAGATTTAGGCGTTTGTATAGCATGCGTCAAGAGGCAACGATGGCATACAGATAGAAGGATTAAAGATGACATGATTCAGCATCCAGTTGATTCTCCTAAATGGGTAAGGTTTGATCAGAAGTGCCTTGAGTTCAAAAAAGAAGATAGAAACCTATGCCTCGCATTATCTACTGATGGGATGAACCCGTGTAGGATGCAGAGCAGTACCTATAATATATGGCCTGTAATGATGGTCATTTATAACCTTCCTCCTTGGCTGTACATGAAGCAGAAGTATATGATGTTATCCTTGCTAATATTAGGGCCCAAGTAACCTAGGAATGATATAGATGTTTACTTAGAACCATTGATTGAAGACTTGAAGCTATTGTTGGAGATGAGTGTAGAGGTATATGATATATACAGAGAAGAGATATTCAATTTGAGAGCCATGGTTTTTGGTACAATTAATGACTTTTCAACATATGGTAATTTATCAGGGTATAGTATTAAAGGACAACTTGAATGTCCTATTTGTGAAGAAGGAACATGTTCAATGAGATTGTAGCATGGTATGAAGAACATGTACCTTGGGTATCGTGGATAGTTGGGTGACAAACATTGATATCATCAGTAGAAAAAGTCTTTTGATGGAAAAATAGAAGAAGAGAGGCTCTTAAACAGTTGACTAGTGAAGAATTATTTCAAAAGGTAAAAGACCTTGATATTAAATTTGGCAAACCATTTGCGAAGCATGTTAGAATAAGGGGGTGGAAGAAAAGATTAATTTTCTTTGAGTTGCCATATTGAAAGACCTTGAATGTGCAATACTTCCTTAACTTGATGCATATTGAGAAAAATGTATACGATAGTCTTTTTAGGATGTTGCATCATATTTTAGGAAAGACCAAGAATGGTCTCAATGCAAGGTTAGACATGGTTGAAATGGGGATAAGAGAAGAATTGGCATTGTAGGAAAAGGAAACTCGCACATTTCTTTAAA